GTTGCATTCGCCATTGCCCCGTAAGTATTTGGAGTTGATAAATTATATTTTTTTAAGTTTTCATGGAAATTGGATTTAAATTTTAGGATAAATTATGATATTGGATTCGAACACCCCGTTTGATGAATGCGCATTGTTGTGGTAAGACTTTTACGCGTCACAACTTTCAATCCATTCCAACTTTAACATTATTTTAGAGAAAATAATTTATATTTAGAGAAAAGAATATCAACAAATAATGTTGATATTCCTTGCTATTCCTTTAAGACACGATATTCCTCTCTATAACTACAAGATATGAGTAACCTCTGCAGCGATTGAAGTAAACGATCACTCAAAATTATTTCCCAAGCCTTGATGTGCACAACAGCAAGATTTCATCGGGTGCTTCAGATCCTATTTATCGTCGAGTTATCGTCGATTTGTCGTCGAGTTATCGTCGAGATATCATCGAGTTATCGTCCAGTTATCGTCGAGTTATCGTAGAGTTATCGTCCAGTTATCGTCGAGTTGTCGTCGAGTTGTCAAGTTATCGTCCAGTTGTCGTCGAGTTATCGTCGAGTTATCGTCGAGTTATCGTCGAGTTATCGTCAATGTATCGTCGAGTTATCGTCGATTTATCGTCGATTTATCGTCGATTTATCGTCGAGTTATCGTCGATTTATCGTCGAGTTATCTTCGATTTATCGTCGAGTTATCGTCGAGTTATCGTCGAGTTATCGTCGAGTTATCGTCGAGTTATCGTCGAGNATTATACGGAAATCTAATTTCTGACTAAATTTATTTTACTGCAGGAGTTAAATAATTACTTGACTTTTTCGCTCCTGAAATTCCTCCATTGAAATGTCCGCGCAATGGACGACATGATTCGTTCTGGTCAATTGCACGATTCGCTGCGCACGAGTGACAGTGCGACGTTCGCTTTCAATTCCATTTATTATTAATTACGTCTATGAATTACTTCTAGTTACGCCTTTTGAATTACTTCTAATTACATCTATGAATTACTTCTAATTACGTCTATGACTTACTTCTAGTTACGCCTTATCAATTACTTCTAATTACGTCTATGAATTACTTCTAATTACGTCTATGACTTACTTCTAGTTACGCCTTATCAATTACTTCTAATTACGTCTATGAATTACTTCTAATTACGTCTATGACTTACTTCTAGTTACGCCTTATCAATTACTTCTAATTACGTCTATGAATTACTTCTAATTACGTCTATGACTTACTTCTAGTTACGCCTTATCAATTGCTTCTAATTACGTCTATGAATTACTTCTAATACCGCATTGTGAATTACTTGCAATTAGGTACAATGAAAAACATTGTTTTTTCCTGGCCAGACGATGGACACGGAGTATATGTGTCGTTTATATGACTGCGATGCATGTGATTATGCTGATCTTATTTTTGTTCAGTCACTGTTCACCGGCTTGTTTCTATCTATATTTAATGAAGAAATTTCTCCTGTATTTCTATAATCAATTATGTCCAATTTCTATAATCAATTATGTCCAATATTAACCTTCTATAATCAATTATGTCCAATCGTACAGCGAATGTTTTTTACCCTTCAGTTGTACGTTACTAACTTCTATGATATTGTTATGCTTCTGTTGAATATGACCCGACCGTGTTCCTGCCAAGGCAACTTGATCGCCTGAGCTGCTAAGTCTCGGCACTGGCGCACTTGTATAAATCACTGAGCTTTAAACATCCAAACACCGATGCATTTTTTACTCATATGTGGGTCATAGTGACCCAGTTTAGCTAGCGCACGTAGCACTGATACTCCTTTTCCAGGACAAACTGGGTCAGGATGACTCGCACAAGTTCAAGAAGTGCATCGCTATATGAACAAATAACTCACACTAATGCGAATGCCCGTCCAAGAAGTTCATCGCTGTATGAACAAATAACTCACACTAATGCGAATGCGTGTACGCGGCAGGGTATGTGTAAAGACGAGTGCGTGTGGCGTGCAACTTGCGACTGGCATGCGGAGGCGCGCGTGCCCTTTGACCCCCGATGATCACGAAGAACTTTCCCTCCATACCAGCACAGTGGCTTCCTTGTGGCCTTGCTCAGGGATACACAAGCATACCATGCGATCATGTATTTAAGTGTTTAAACGCTGTCGAAGAGCGTTCCACGTATCCAAAAGCGTTCTTTACGTTCCTTTTGACAAGTATCTAACGCTGTAAAATAGCTTTCCACGTACCCGAAAGCGTTTTTTACGTTCATTTTGGCAGGTATATAACTCTGTCGAAAAGTATTCAACGCATCCAAAAGCGTTCTTTACGTTGCCTTTGATAAGTATATAACGCTGTCGAAGAGCGTTCCACGTATTCAAAAACATTTTTACGTTCTTTTTGGCAGGTATATAACTCTGTCAAAAAGTATTTCAAGTATCCAAAAGCGTTTTTTATGTACCATTTGACATGTATATAACGGTGTCGAAGAGCGTTCCACGTATCCGAAAGCGCGTTTTTTACGTTCCGGTGTCATGTACCCACTTGAACTCTGCAGAAAACTTTTACCGAAAATACTCGTGCACTTCCCAAGAAATATTATAACATTCACTTATTCAAAAACACATTTTGTACTATGCGTTTTCCGTATCGTTTGCGTTCCCATGAAAAATAATACTGTCAATGTTCCAATGCTTAAGCGTTTTACCAGATTCATGAGCTGAGTCTCAAGCATCCAGATAGAATTATTAAACTGACGCCTTTTCTCTTCTTATCTAATTATATTTTTTTTTCGATCGTTTCTGTGTAATAAAATAACAAAATAAATTTTTTCTCGATTTTCACGTGGACTAGAAGTTTAATTTTAAATTATTGTCCAGCTTAAAATTCACTGTGAATGTCATATCAATTTCTGGAACTCGTAAAATTTTTAAATTGCGGTCAACCTTCAAACCGCAATTNCCAGTTGTCACGTAGTAACCACCAGTAACTAACCTGTACCTCTGTTGCCAGTTGTCACGTAGTAACCACCAGTAGCTAACCTGTAGGTACCGCTGTTGCCAGTTGCCACGTAGTAACCACCAATAACTAACCTGTACCTCTGTTGCCAGTTGCCACGTAGAGACATGAATTGTCTGAACTGTACCTCTGTTGCCAATTGTCACGTAGGGGAAACCAGTAACTAACCTGTGCCTCTGTTGCCAGTTGCCACGTAGTAACCACCAGTAACTAACCTGTACCTCTGTTGCCAGTTGTCACGTAGTAACCACCAGTAACTAACCTGTACCTCTGTTGCCAGTTGTCACGTAGTAACCACCAGTAGCTAACCTGTAGGTACCGCTGTTGCCAGTTGCCATGTAGTAACCACCAGTAACTAACCTGTAACGCTGTTGCCAGTTGCCACGTAGTAACCACCAGTAACTAACTTGTACCTCTGTTGCCAGTTGCCACGCAGAGACATGAATTGGCTAAACTGTACCTCTGTTGCCATGCAGTTGTTACGTAGGGGAAACCAGTAACCTGTACCGCTGTTGCCAGTTGTCACGTAGTAACCACCAGTAACTAACCTGTAACGCTGTTGCCAGTTGCCACGTAGTAACCACCAGTAACTAACTTGTACCTCTGTTGCCAGATTCCACGCAGAGACATGAATTGGCTAAACTGTACCTCTGTTGCCATGCAGTTGTTACGTAGGGGAAACCAGTAACCTGTGCCGCTGTTGCCAGTTGTCACGTAGTAACCACCAGTAACTAACCTGTACCTCTGTTGCCAGTTGCCACGTAGGGACATGAATTGTCTGAACTGTACCGCTGTTGCCAGTTGCCACGTAGTAACGACCAGTAACTAACCTGTACCTCTGTTGCCAGTTGCCACGCAGAGACATGAATTGGCTGAACTGTACCTCTGTTGCCAGTTGTCACGTAGGGGAAACCAGTAACTATACCTGTACATCTGTTGCCAGTTGCCACGTAGTAACGACCAGTAACTAACCTGTACCTCTGTTGCCAGTTGCCACGTAGTAACGACCAGTAACTAACCTGTACCTCTGTTACCAGAATGAAGAACGAGTCTGTGATCGAGCGAGAGATCCGTATCGCCAGGGAGCGCGAGGAGGCCTACAAGAGAGAAAAAGGCCTCCTCAGCAACTCCGTTGCTACGCCTAAAACCTGCACCAACCTCACCAGCGATGACACTAACAGCCCCACAAACGGCCTGACTGAACAAACGCTCCAGCGACAGACGTCTTCACCATCGCCAGTCACAAGTAAGACGTTCTAGAAGTCTTTGCAGATAAAATGAATTGATGACTAAAATCGAACAATAAAATATTATGTCATTACCAAATTTGGTCTATATTTTTACGCAGAGGTAAACCCGAAAAATTTCAAAGAAGGTCTGATGAATCCTAGCTTTGACCGCCACGTTTGATAAACTGAATGGACATCGAAAATAAAATGCGTAGAATATGCTTCTCGTCCTGCGCATGAATGCTTATGGTTATTTGTTCAATGGCATAGGCAGATTTTCCATTCATTTTTATTTTTGAATTTCCTTGCTTTGAAATTCTTCTTCTCGCCTCTATATTACTTGCCTTTGGCTCATATTCATCTATAGTTGATACATTGTGGATGATTGATCCGTCATTTGCCCCATTTTTGTTAATCATATTTCTTGTTTGACGGACTCGGGGATTTTTCTGCCAAACCTGTCAAGTTTTGGATTTTAATTATCCTTTTTTTATCCAATGGATTTAGCCATTGTACGTAAGCTATCACTCTGCGCACCGGCAAATGCTAGCCGAAATAATGAACGTTATTACTTTACTCTTATAAAAATGAAGGGTTCTTGTTGTCCGAATAGTGACCTACTTTCTAACTCATAGCACGATCTGAGAGTGGACGTAGCATCGATTTGCCTTTTTGCCTGGTCCAATTGGGTCAGATAACCCAAACGAAGCCAAAACGTGCATCTCGTCGTGGACAGTCTCATACTTTTATCCGAATATATATGTTCTATACATTGATATTGTTGTTCTCCAGATGGCAGTATCAGCAAGAGTTGCCAGCTGCAGCTAGCCACCAGCAGGATATATGTTCTATATATTAATATTCTTGTTCTCCAGATGGCAGTATCAGCAAGAGTTGCCAGCTGCAGCTGGCCACCAGCAGGATATATGGTCTATATATTGATATTCTTGTTCTCCAGATGGCAGTGTCAGCAAGAGTTGCCAGCTGCAGCTAGCCACCAGCAGGATATATGGTCCATATATTAATATTGTTGTTCTCCAGATGGCAATATCAGCAAGAGTTGCCAGCTGCAGCTAGCCACCAGCATGATATATGGTCTATATATTGATATTCTTGTTCTCCAGATGGCAATATCAGCAAGAGTTGCCAGCTGCAGCTGGCCACCAGCAGGATATATGTTCTATATATTGATATTCTTGTTCTCCAGATGGCAGTATCAGCAAGAGTTGCCAGCTGCAGCTAGCCACCAGCAGGATATATGGTCTATATATTGAATAATCTTGTTCTCCAGATGGCAATATCAGCAAGAGTTGCCAGCTGCAGCTGGCCACCAGCAGGATATATGTTCTATATATTGATATTCTTGTTCTCCAGATGGCAGTATCAGCAAGAGTTGCCAGCTGCAGCTAGCCACCAGCAGGATACAGATGGAGATCGCAGAGGACAGCCAGAGGGAACTGGAACTTCTCAACGCTGGCAAAGTCCAGACTCTCTCACAGGACACCGTTGATAACAAGGCAACTCTTTTATATTTTTTTAGTTATGCACAAATTTCGTTTTAAAAAGTGAAGACGTGAATAATCCTAATCATATTTGGTGCACGGAAATACATCCTGCCTTCAATTCAATTTTTTTTGTGAGCTAAACTCTGTAACTCATTTAAAATGTGATAAACTCTGCAACTCATTTAAAAATTTTTTATTTAGTTTGATAATTCAGTTGTATCTATATACTTTATAGTTCTGCAAAATACTTGAAATAATGAAATAAACGGAATTGAAACTATATACAATATATCATACCCTCATAATTAATTTTTTAGGTTTGAGAGTTAATTCCTTAAATTTTAGAACTTCAATTGGAAATATACTTTGTCATAATAGGAATAATTATAGGGAACTTCCAGTCCTAATAATTTTCTTGTACTTAGCTTGGTGTGAGGGAGTAATAAAAATTCAATTTTTTTAATTTTAACTGAAATCAGCAAAAATACAATTTATTTCCTGAAACATTCATTGCCACAAGAATATAGATCCCCGAACCTGTGCCTGGTTTTATTTGAAACCGAGTTTACTTCGTAAAAACGGTATATCACCTATATAACCACCGACCATATGTGTAAACACCGGATTTAACTCATATAACCCCCTGATTATTTATATAAACACCGTATATCACCCATATAACAACCGATCATTCGTATAAACACCGTATATCACCTGTATAACACTATATGTCACCGGTAGAGTCACCGATCATTTGTGTCTGTCCAGCAGGTCGCGCGATTATCGGACTTGGCTGATCTCTCATCTGCGCAAGACACGCACACCAAATCTCTGGTAACATCAACTTCACGATCCTCCTCTGCCCACCACTCGGTTGCCAACAAACTTTCAATATGACAATTTTGATGTCCAGAAGCCAGTGTTTTTACGTCAACACAGCAGCGACTCAATAAATTTTTCTTTCATGTAAAATGATTATTCGTGTCAACAAAAAGCCAAATAACGGTTACCAACAAGACAATTTTGGTGTCCAGAAGCCAGTGTTGTTGCGTCAACACAGCAACGACTCGACGGACGGCAGCCTGATGTCGTCGGAGCAGAGAAGCGAAGTGAGAAGTATGACGTCTTCCCCTCAGCCTCCCCAGGGCTACAAGAAATTCATCGGCGCCGAAGAAAAAATTCAAGAAGAACTTCGCGAGATGCAGCAGCGCGAGGAGGAACTCAAGTGAGACGGCCATTTTGGTGACTTTATTCAGGGTTTGATAAAATTTTCAAGAAAATATCGCTGTGGATCTCGATAATAAATAAATATATTATACAAAATAATGCTTACCGTTCTTTTGACTAGCACTTGCCTAGACCCAATAGGGGAAGATTTGAATCAAACTGCTTTCCCAGAAGGCACCTTATGGGGAAATGAGGTAGACTAAACGTTTTAGCGCATATTCTCATTGATGGAAAAAAGGTGCTATTGTGCTCGTCATGTCCGTCTGTCTGTCTGTCCGTGACTTCACGTTTTCGTCGACGAGAAAATGCGCTCTTTGTCACTCACTGCAGTGAGTACTGAGTTATATTTTTTTAAACATCACTTGCCTGGCGTGCAAATGGGTCAGAAATCACAAATGTCTGAATACAATGCCCACTGTTGAAATATATTAAAAATCTTAAAAAATTCCCCTTTCCCAGGTGGTTGCGGTGCCACTGTAAATATTTTGAAAATTTAAAAAAATTCCCCTTTCCCAGGCGGTTGCGGAGCAGGAACCTGATGGCGCACTCTCACCCCAACCTGCTGGAGATGGGGCTCAGTGAGATCCCCTTCGAGGACGACCAGAGCAGCGTCGCTGGGGAGACCGACCCCGGCGCTGACGAGGAGACAACCCTCAGCGGGGCGGCCTCCAACCCGAACCTTGACGAGGGTAACATCGTCGCCAAGAAGGTGAGTGATGAGGGTAACATCGTCAAGAAAGTGAGTGACGAGGGTAACATCGTCGCCCAGAAGGTGAGTGACGAGGGTAACATCGTCAAGAAAGTGAGTGACGAGGGTAACATCGTCACCAAGAAGGTGAGTGACGAGGGTAACATCGTCACCAAGATGGTGAGTGACGAGGGTAACATCGTCGCACAGAAGGTGAGTGACGAGGGTAACATCGTCAAGAAGGTGAGTGACGAGGGTAACATCGTCTTTCAAGCCACTCCGGTGACTCAAAAAGCTGGGCAATTTTATCTTGTCTCCTAACGTTAGCTGTGGCCTTTAGACACGAATAGCATGAAATTGTCGGTTAATATATCTTGTGACGAAAACTTGAATTTGGCCACGTGTCTCTCCGACGATTTTACTTAAGCCACGTACAGTTCTAGAATTTTTTTCTTACACACGACCAAAGTTCTTCAAGTTCTGCTAAGATAAATCAATATATTCAAATTTAAGCTACTTGAATGCAGAGTTTAAAATTTGGACTGATGTGACAAACTCATTACACAACTTGCAAACAATTTTTCAAGGTTTGATTTCTGATTTCACTTCACCTTCACGCGTTGATGTAAAAATAAAAAATGCATTTCCTGCTGATTGATAAATCGATTAATGATATTGATCAATTTAATTAAAATAGTTGATAAACATTAATATAAGTAAGGAAATTAATATAATATTGTGTAACAGGTGAGCCGACGACGCAGTGCCCTCATCGCCGAGTGGGAGAACAGGATCCAGTCCACGGCCGCTGTCGATGCCTGAGTTAGTGTCCTGAAATTAGAATATTAATCATTTTATTGAAATTTCATTTTAAATTTTATATGTGTTCATATTGGACTAATATAATTCTGAAATAATAATTGTATCGAATGATTTTGTTTTTGATAACAGTTGTCTGAAATTTAAAATAATCTTTTGATTTTGACCGCTATCGCTCCGTTATGAATTCAATAAGCGTGTAGCGTATTTTAAAAACGATGTTCTGCTGTCCAAAGTGAAGTACATTTCTTCTCCTTCACAAATTCTTCTATGGAACTTTCGTTTTCAACTCTCTTCCTTTATACGTTAAAAAAATATGTACGGCCAAATTAAATATGCCTCACATTTTGGAGTGAAATATTTTGGAGCGAAATATGATGACACCAACAAATTAATAATATTAATTCAACACAAAAATGATGACACCAAATTAATAAATCTTGCCGTGTTTTGCAGGATTGCATAGGATTTCCAAAGCGTTCCATCGTACGAGAAGGAACGTACACTGCAGTTCTGCACGGAGTTAAATGCTGCGGGACAAGAAGGATGTTATTCCTGAATTCTGATCTAATTATTTCGATGTGTTGATGTGTTGCATCAACATCGGATAATTCACGGTTGTTTAATTAATGATTTTGAATTATGTGCATAGTAGAGTGCCTTATATGGTTTTAATTTCCCTAGTTAAGGACTTATGATACCAGTTTTCATGCAATCAATATGTCAGACACAAGATTAGACTGCAGTACATATAGAGTTATAACAATTGCAATTTGTGCTTTATGAATCCATCGTAACTTGGATCAAGAATTTATTTAACTCTATAAAAAATTCCTAACAGAATCAAGTTTACCGCCTCCTCAACTTTGGATGATATGTTTGCTTTACGACTGAATTTATTCGAACAATGCAATCTCCAAGCGCATTAGTGTGCACAGCAATTGGCCATGGAAAATTTAATGTATGAATTGTGAATGGACAATGAATGCTTGATCCAAGTCATCCTCCATGAATCAACACGATAAGTCAAACCCTGAGGGCCGTAATATCAATAATTGGACGTTTGTAACTCCGTATGCTAATTGTTGATGGTTTTAAAGCTAAATCTTTTAATCACAAATGCGAAATTGGCCGCTACGTGGACATAACCGAGCTTCGCTAGCACGGCCTCAGTCTCGTTACTTCAAAGTAGAAATAATTTGATGTCTGTTGCATTTCTTCAACATTTCCCTATTTCATTAGGATTTTATATGAAGTATTTATGTCATATAATTAGTTAGTGACAATTAGCTAGATATATGTACATATTGTAGACTATCCTTCTCATATACAATATTCTATAACCTCTTCAACGTCTTTTATGGTAGACACCCATATTATTTTATTGCAAGCTTAATAATTCATTAATTAGTTATTTTCATATGTAAATGCCAGATAAAACTTAGTTATGCGTCATGCACGTTATTGCATTTCAAGATCGTGCAATACTAAAGATCAGGTTTTGGTTAAACTAAATTAAAATTAGTTAACTTAAATTAGTAATATTGTTATTTGGTTTACTGTACTATTGAACTAAGCTTGTCTTCAGAAGCATAAAACATTTATTGTAAGTTAACAGTGATTCATTTGGCTGAACATTTTTAGCTACTTTTACACCTCGGCTGGTCAGATCGAAGTATCGTCGATATTTCTAATGCTAATGAAATTTCTAATATGAAATTTAAGTAACTTAGTAATTATTCGGACTATTAGGCCTAGAATCCACAGCTATTAGTTATATTTACTGTGTTAAAGTAAATACGATTGTGCTCTATATGCAGCGTTCATGGGATGCCCAGAGAATATTTCAAATGAATAACATCCATTTGAAATGTCGAAAAGGTCAATAGTTTGTGAACATTTTATCAGTGAATTTACATCAGTTGCATATTTTGTCTGAAATATTTTTATGTTCCTATAGGTTTCATCAATATCCTGTGAAAAATTTAGTTCTGATTCACCAAAATCGAAACTTTTTTAACCGAGATGTGGCAATTAGTATATGTGAGTGAAATTGGTAGAATTTAATTGTAGATTGCCTTGAATTTTGTTGGAGTGTTTTGAAGTGTACTGTTCGTTGGTGGTTACTAACGTTTTTCGTGCTTAAGAATAAGTGTTGAGTACGACACATTACTAGAGTCAATGCTTTATATACATTTTGCTTCCTTGTATTCTATTATGTGACGTTTGTCCTGTATTATGCTTCAAATAAAGCTTTACATGAAACTACTAGAATTTTACGAACTCCAATCTTCTGTAGCACATTTGAATTATCCCGAAATTCACGCAATAGTCGTCAATATAAGTGTACCTAATGCAATACAACTTAACACACCTTAAGAAAACGGTACAAAATATTAAACTACAATCGTTCATATTGAATTAACTGGATTTATCTTGAGTAACAAGGAAGAAATGAGATAATAATTTCAAGCTTCAGTTATCGACATCTGTGTGGTGACCTCATTGAAGCATACAAGAATACTCATGGGCTTATACAAGGTCCCTGAAGGATTACTAGAATTTGAACCAACACCAGGGGCCACGGCTATAAACTAAAAAAAACTGCACTGAAATTTCTCCACGATACAACATTTCTTCTCGCTTCGAATCACCGACATGTGGAACAGCCTCCCCGATGACATCGTTGGCGCTCCATGAATAAACGAGTTCAAGAACAGACTAGATAAAGCTATGGAAAAGTATATGTTCATACTTGAAAAGCTTAGCACCAGATCGAACCCTGTGAAAGTCTAGTAGCTATTTCAAATAATCATCAGGTTGGAAAAGATCCGGTCGAAAGACCTGTTTTTAGATCTCCTGTGGATAAGTCACGAAAAGTACAAGAATCTGAGGCAGGCCGCATCAGATCAGGCCTATTCTTCAGCGCCGATATCACTATATTACGATACGATACAAGAGATAAAAAATCAGTTTAAAAAAATATTATGGCTCCCGAAGCTCCTTATGCATAGCCTCAGCCGGCAGCCTAGGCCAGTTTGACAACGACATTATGCAAGGAATTTTCATCTCCTCCATAATAGGGTAAAGAGATATCAAGTTAAAGTCAATAAAATTTATTAGAAGATCAATTTTTGAGGTTCAGTTCTTCCATGGTTTTTAATGACCGAGCACTAAAAGTTGTCTGAGATTGGGACCGTGGCAACTGGAGACCGAAATTCAGGTTCTTCATCCAAAATAATTCATAAGATGCGATAATTTGAACTGAATGATTAACAATTCACGGGTCGGCAGCCGGTGTCTCAGGACCGGGCGTAGTTTATACTGTTGAAGAAATGAAGAATGCCCTGGCATACGGAGAGCTGGTGTTCACAGTCTCAATAAGTGCAACAATAAAGGGCTGTATAATTCGGAATAAATACTTATATGAAAATAATTGCACACACCTAAACCTATTCGGAGTTTGGTGCAACTGAGGTCACAACTGATATGCTATAACGCAAGGAATAAAACCCAACAAAATAAGGGTAAAGTAGGAGGAAGGTTTACAGGACAGTAGGAGGAAGGTTCACAAGAAAGGACAGACAGGACAGTAGGAGGAAGGTTCACAAGAAAGGACAGGCAGGACAGTAGAAGGAAGGTTCACAAGAAAGGAAAGACAGGAAAGTAGAAGGAAGGTTCACAAGAAAGGAAAGACAGGAAAGTAGAAGGAAGGTTCACAAGAAAGGACAGACAGGACAGTAGAAGGAAGGTTCACAAGAAAGGAAAGACAGGAAAGTAGAAGGAAGGTTCACAAGAAAGGAAAGACAGGACAGTAGAAGGAAGGTTCACAAGAAAGGAAAGACAGGACAGTAGGAGGAAGGTTCACAAGAAAGGACAGGCAGGACAGTAGGAGGAAGGTTCACAAGAAAGGAGAGCAGGAGGAAGGTTCGCAAGAAAGGAGAGCAGGAGGAAGGTTCGCAAGAAAAGACAGGCAGGACAGTAGGAGGAAGGTTCACAAGAAAGAACAGACAGGAAAGTAGGAGACGAAATGTTCAGGAAAAAGTTGGAGGAGGAATGAAACCCTAAACCTCCAACTTCCTTTATTATACAGTGAGCAAACGACCTAATTTCATTTAGTTTCTCCTTAAATGCCCCGAAAGTAAACGAAGCAGAGCCGTAGGGATAATTTCTAACAATTAATATCTGCCAAGAGAAGAATGAAATTTCTATATTTCATCAACTGAAATAGAACAAGAATTCACATGGAAAACGGAACCTCTGATCCTGAAGCTGAGTCATGAGCGAAACACACACTTTCCAGAAATAAACGCCTTTGAATTAAAATTTGAATAACTAAATTCCTGTTTTTATATTATGAAACAAAATTCTGCAATTCTCTATTTTCCATGGAGTACTCCTGAATATAAATTGTTACATCGAAAAAGTTGTTCTCGTTTCCTCGATCTTACTGATTAAATTGAAGGAAAAGCCGTTCATGATCTAAACCAGATATATATAAAATTTTACTTTAAGAATACACTTTTTTTCCTCACACTTACACTCAGACGAATTTCGTGGTACGGATTGCGTATAAATAGCCGAAACTAGGCAATTCATTATTCGTAATTCGTGGAAGCTGTTTTCCATCTAACCAGATTTTCATTAATTAGATTTCCAATGTAAGCGCTACGTAAATTATTTTCGAGGCTCCAGCCTGACCAACCCGGCCACTGTGCAGAGAGTGGATGAATATTGCAAGATCTTTGGCGACGCTTCAGTAGCAAAATTTATGCCTTCAGAAGATCTTGCCGACCACTGCACTCCAACCGAACTTTTACCGAGCAGGAATCGGAATGCGAGTTGGCATTTCTAATACATTATTGATGACTTAGTCACTCATTTTAAATTATGATATTGAGTAAATGAAGAAGAAAAAAGAAAAGAATGGCTCGCACTGAATTAACTGCTCAAAGTAGTTAACTAATGAGCAGGATTCTGAAAACCAAAGTAACAGACTTAGCACGATGCAGCAATCGTACCTACTTAACCTGATATACATATTCCAAGCAAAATAATCAAGCACGATTCATGAATATCACAAACAAATAATTTTGAATAGAATATAACAAAAAAAAAAAATATTTTGAGTATCACATGAAAAATAATTTTGAATATCACAGCGTGCGACTCGATGAACTTCTGGAGAGCGACTAGCCATGGCGGTCCGTGTGAAAAAACTTCTTCTCTAAATGCAGTTGTTAGTAAATCGTAAGGTAAAAATTAATGAAATTACGTGTGAATCTGACGACACGAAATACAAGATAGAATTGTTTGAATGATCACAAAAAATGTCTAGAAAAATTGCGGTGAAAAATAACGAAATACGGAGGGCGGATACAACAATATTATTTCAGAGCAGTCGGGGCACTCAAATAGATTATTATAAAATATGGGGAGTTATCAGAGCAATAAATAATACGATTAAAAATCAAGATGGAAAATGTTTTGAACTCTCCTGGCAGATGGCAGGTTGAGGCCATTGAGGGCCACGTTCCATCACCCTTATCAGTGTTTATTATCATCATTGCCCTCCTATAAGTGTAATTTTTGATCTCTTATCACTGTCATTATTGCTCTCTTATCAGATCATCATTGCTCTCTTATCAGAATCATCATTGCTGATCATTTTACATGATGATCATTTCATTATCATTTTATTATCATTTTATTATCATTTTATTATCACTTTATCATCTTTTTATTATCATTTATTTTCATTTTATTATCATTTATTATCATTTTATTGTCATTTTATTATCATTTTATTATCACATTATTATATTTTTATTATCATTTAGTATCGTTTTATTATCATTTTATTATCATTTTATAATCATTTTATTTCGCGATTATCGGACTTGGCTGATCTCTCATCTGCGCAAGACACGCACACCAAATCTCTGGTAACATCAACTTCACGATCCTCCTCTGCCCACCACAGTCCCACTGTGTCCCCTCACTCTACCTTGAGCAACTCCAGCCGCTCATCCAACGGCCTCTCCAACGGCCATTTGAACGGTCATTCCAACGGCCTCACTAACAGCCGGTACAACGGACTTTCGAACGGTCATTCAAACGGGTTATCCAACGGTTTCAATGGTTCAGCACGTCTCACGAAGAGCCTCTCCACCACAAACCTAGCGTCACAGAACTCTGGAGCTGCTGGCCTCCGACCCAAAGGTCTCATGGAGAAGTTCATTGCATCCCGTGGCAAGATGACTCCGTCTGCCTTTACTTCCTCTTCCTCTACAAACGACCATCCCAGCAGAGTTATCATCACCAGACCCATGAGGGTTCAGCCCAAGGTGAGCCTGCAGACCATGCCATAATTATTGCATTAGTTTTGGATTAGTTGAAAGGTGGAAAGTTCAATTTCTTCCATATGTAGAATGTAGACCTGCTGAGATAGGATAATTTGGTTGAATACACTGACCGAAATCCCGTATATATTAATCTCAAAAATAAGGCCATTTTTGAGATTAAGAAGTTCAATTGTATGAGATCACACTGAAAATTTTCCTGTACTAATATTCTCGTCTCAGAAATGAAGTATAAAATTTTTCTATCGTGTAAAATTATGGTTCGTGTAAACATAAAGCCAAATTTCGGTTGCCAACAAACTTTCAATATGACAATTTTGATGTCCAGAAGCCAGTGTTTTTACGTCAACACAGCAGCGACTCAATAAATTTTTCTTTCATTTAAAATGCTGATTCGTGAAAACAAAAAGCCTTTTTCGGTAGCCAACAAACTTTCAACAAGACAATTTTTGTGTCCAGAAGCCAGTGTTGTTGCGTCAACACAGCAGCGACTCGACGGACGGCAGCCTGATGTCGTCGGAGCAGAGAAGCGAAGTGAGAAGCATGACGTCTTCCCCTCAGCCTCCCCAGGGCTACAAGAAATTTATCGGCGCTGAGGAAAAAATTCAAGAAGAACTTCGCGAGATGCAGCAGCGCGAGGAGGAACTCAAGTGAGACGGTTATTTGGTGACTTTATTCAGGTTTTGATAAAATTTTCAAGAAAATATCGCTGTGGGTCTCGATAATAAATAAATATATTATACAAAATAATGCTTACCGTTCATGTGTTGAGCTTCTCGAGCCACGCACTGTATTTTTATTATTGTGTGTGACATTTATAACAAAAAATATGTTGTGCGAGATAGCTTAAAAAATAAAAACATTTTTAATGACTCACGTTCAAATATTTCATGGTGAAATTTAAGTCATGAGCTTCTCAAGCCACGCACTGTATTTTTATTATTGTGTGTGACATTTATAACAAAAAAACATGTTGTGCAAGATTGCTTAAAAAATAAAAACATTTTTATTGATTCACGTTCAAATATTTCATGGTGGAATTTAAGTCATGAGCTTCTCAAGCCACGCACTGTATTTTTATTATTGTGTGTGACATTTATAACAAAAAACATGTTGCGCGAGATTGCTCAAAAAAAAAACATTTATAATGACTCACGTTCAAATATTTCATGGTAGAATTTTTGCAGTTTGGGTAAGCTTTTGCGAAGTTGGTATCAGTGCTGCATTGGTTCTTCAACGAAATCGTCTCGAAAGCCACATAGTCAAATGTGTTGTCAGGTTTCAGCTGTTGAGGAAAGAAGATTATGGAAATAACTATCAGAATAGAAAAAAATAAGCAGCAGATACGTTTATTTTTTGTGTGGGGACTACTTTTTCCTTCAAAAATTTACAATAAGATAGTATTTTAAGAAAAATAAGCAAGGAATAAACATTTCGAGAGATGAATTTTTATGGACTTTGAATTGCGGGTTCCTAGATCAGGAGATTTTAAAACATTTTTATTCTTTATGCAAAGAACAAAACTTGTCTTGTCAAGAGTCTACAAAATAAACTACATCTATAAAATCTCATTGCAGTTCACTAATAATGCTTAAGAAAACGCTACGCATATATCAATTCAGCGATCAAAAAGTAAGATTGAACTCACTGCAAAAATGCAGATTGGCTTCTAAATTAGCGCATAGGCGAAATTGTTCATGTCTATACAAATGCTAAATTAATTGCCCGATGTGCTCAGTGCGCCAGTACACTGTTAGAAAAAACGGTGAAAAAACGGTCCACACTGTTAGAAAAAACGGTGAAAAAACGGTCCTACTGGCGTTCTAGTGGCCGGTCGCCCCGTATAAATGAATGAAAATAAGCTGTTTCGCCGTTTTTATCAGATGTTTTACGGATTTCTAGTGTAAAATTAGAATGAGAACTGCGACACGGTGTTTCTTTTCGCGTGCCGAACGGCCACTGAAACACCGGTAATACCGGTAACGGTAATTTTTCTAACAGTGTACGCTGAAATACTCACGAGCTTGGCTGGTTGCAACATGCACTTGGAATAATTGAAGTGTATGGGATCACATGTTGCGGCATCGTACCCAGTCAAACTTTCGTAGTTATTGCATTTTCCATCTGTTGAAGGAGAAATTTAGTCGATGGGTTATGTATTACTACCATCTACACTTTTTTTTCTACAGTCTACACAATGATGAAAAAGTGAAAAATCACAGGATCTTCCAAGGCAAAACTGACGAGTACAAATGATCAACAAGCTTAAAATTGAGGATAAGAAACTTGAGCTCAGTTGATTCCAATCGATTTTTAATTTGAAGCTGCCAATCGTCAATAAAAATATTGGTTATTGATCTTAGACCCACAATTGTTCAATTTAAGCTTGAAATTATGTTAAAATCAATATGAATAAATCGATGCAATATAACTTATGTTGGAAAGTTACAGCAATACAAATCGTTTCGGACATTAAAATTTCATGTTGAGAAAACGGAATTTAAATCTGTTCATTTCAGTTTGCAGCAAGCGTCTATCTAATAGTACATAGTTTTTGAATGATCATCTGTCGATGTAATCTGGGAACGAGTTTTTAATCGTATAGGTTCGAGGGAAATGCTTAATTTGATAAGAAAATTAGCACGATGAAAATATTAAGTCTTTATAGTATACGTTAACAAAAAATGGATAAATAAAAAATATGTAAATTTCGATATGTCGTCAACCAACTCCCACACTGCCGAGAATGCTAGCTGCCTCACAAATTAAATAAAAATATTGGTTAATGATCTTTGACCCACAATTGTTCAATTTAAGCTTGGAATTGTGTTAAAATCAATATGAATAAATTGATGCAATATATAACTTATGTTGCACTCACTTGAAGCAAGAAAGTTGCTCGCGTACGTTTTGTCCTGCCGAGCGCATTTATTAGCATCGTCGGAATACAAGATTTTCTGCCGTGCCAGGAACAAAGCCCCTCTACAAAGGGATGCACCTCTGTAAAAAATTACAAGTAATCATTTCAGTGTATAAAATTAGCAAGTGACTTCATCTTTGAAATGCGTAAAACGTTTGAAAATTTTCGTAAAAAATACACACGCTATTATATTTCAAAACAAGGACCCTGAACTCACTGGATGTCTTCACATCCGAATTTTCTCGTTAGACCATCAGACAGTAACGTATAAACGTTGCCATAATCTAGGTTCAGACACTCTGGTATGACGAAGTAATAATGTAAACAAAATAATGTTCGAGCTAGAACAAAGTTACAAAAATCATAATCCGTTACTCTAAATATTTGTCATTCTTCAGTCAAATCGTTGATTTCAATCAAATAGCACGACATATATGAATAATTAAAAATAATTAACAATTGCATTCGCAAATCTTGTCAATAACACATCTTTGATTGACATGCAAGCGAAGTACTTACGCCGCGGACGAGGCAACGGTTGCGGCGGCGATCAGAAACATCAGAGCTCGCTTCATTTTTTCTCTGTGGTCGTGGCAGCGGTGCGATGGCAGGTCGGAGCAGCGGTGCGATGGCAGGTCGTGGCAGCGGTGCGATGGCAGGTCGTGGCAGCGGTGCGATGGCAGGTCGGAGCAGCGGTGCGATGGCAGGTCGTGGCAGCGGTGCGATGGCAGGTCGTGCGTAGGCAGGCAAATACGGCTTGATCCTGATGCACTGTGGGTATGTGGTGGCCATGTTATAGACATTGGATTTGTTGGGACAGGTGTTGAGAAATTCATTCAGATGCTGTTATTAATGATACAGTGTACACACATGCGAGCTGAATAATCAATTTTGTTGCCTCTAAATATACGAAGTTTAATTCTAAACAACTGAATGCTGTCTTTTCATAAGATTTTGGTAATTTGTGTTTCACCATGGGACTGTTTTTTCGGGGATTTATTTCTTTGGGCAAAATATACATTATAACTACTTTTTTCGATGATAAAAGTTCAATGCTACTGCAAAATCGGTATTCGGTAAATGATAGTATATATAACAATACTTATTATCTTAAAAGACATTTCACAATTGATTATGAATATTGTCAATGTTAATTATTTTCTTTTTTTTTGTATCTCTATTTCACTCAGATGGTATTTTTCTCGATGCTTACTCTCCTTTTGCTAATACGACAAGTTGAACATTATCATATAGAGCAACATGGGGCAGCGCCCCCCTCTTTTTTAAACTAAATTTTTGATGAAGTTAATTGATACGAGGTGGTTCTTTGTTTTGTTTAAAGGTACAACTAATGAGGAATGTATGATGTGAAATAGACGCCTAGAGAGTTATTTAATTTTTAATGAAACACTATTTTGTAAAAAGTGTCAAAATGGGCCCATTGCCCCAGGGATGGGGCAATGGCTTGGCTAGGGGGCTAGGCGCCCACCCTTGGTCCCTTTACCACAATTGCATATTTTTCGTTTAAAAATGATAAAACAACAGTTTAAAGTTAAAATTAAGAAAAATGTAATTAGTCAATAACTCGATAAGTGGTCATAAATACGCATAACTAGAAACTAAACCTGCTGCCTTGAGGCGGCAAATTAAAAAATCATGCAATATGAAGTGTAATTTGTAATTCAAAATGTTAGTCATAGTTTTTAAAGGCTCATTGAGACAAATCTAATGATGTATAACACAAGACTTCACCATGGGCGCTTTGCCCCGTGGGGCCCGCTGCCCCACTAAGTATCATTTCAATTTATATCGTGTCAACATTTTAGTTTGAAAGCTAATAGTCTAAAGTTGAACTCAAAATTATCCCTATAAATATTACTTTCAAAATATAATTCACAGTAATTTCAAAAACTTCATTTGCAGTAAACGAAAATTGTTTTATTTAACAGTAAAAAAAACTTTTATCTGGGCCAAAACAGTTATTCGCGCGAGTAACTTACCAAAGCGAAAAACTCTTAGCAAAACGTAAATCCGTACACTTCATCCCAGTGAAACTGTCGACCGGCGGTAGAGCGCACTGACCAATAGCTGCCATACTTAGCGGGAAACCCGTTATGGGCCCGTGACCCGCAGTTGCCCCATGTTACCCTATCAGTTGAGCCGTTTCTAAAATAGAATAAGTATTCATAACTTTTTAAACAAAACTCGAAAGTTTTCCCAAACCTAGATATATACAAACTTTAAAGCGGCAAAAAGCCAGTTATGATTTCAAGAGTATATGTTCAGCCGTTTAAAAACAAATTAGTATTCAGAATTTCTTAAAATTCAACTCGAAAGTTCTCCCAAACCTAGAAATTTATTCACCTTAAAGCGGCAAAAAGTCCGTTACCATTTCACGAGTATCAGTTCAGCCGTTTCTGAAATAGAATTAGTATTCATATCCTTTTTAAATTCTTCTCGTAATTTCTTTCAAACCTGGAAATTTATCTACTTTAAAGCCGCAAAATGCATGCTATAATTTCACGAGTATCCGTTCATCCATTTCTAAAATAGAATTAGTATTCATAACTTTTTAAATTCAACTCGAAAGTTCATCCAAACCTAGAAATTTACTCACTTCAAAGAGGCAAAAAGTCTTATATAATTTTACGAGTATCAGTTGATCCATTTCTAAAATAGAATTAGTATTCATAATTATTAAAATTCAACTCGAAATTTCTCCCAAACATAGAAATTTACGCACTTCAAAGAAGCGAGAAGTCTGTTATAGTTTCAAGAGTATCCGTTCAGCCGTTTCTGAAATAGGATTAGTATTCATAACTTTTCAAATTCAACTCGAAAGTTCCCCAAAATCTAGAAATTTACTCACTTTAAAGCGGCAAAAAGCCTGCTATAATTTCACGAGTACCAGTCCAGCCGTTTCCAAATAGAATTGGTATTAACAACTTTTCAAAAATAACTCGAAAGTTCACCCAAACCTGAAAATTTTCTAACATTAAAGCGTCAAAAAGTCTGTTATAATTTCACGAGTAGGCTAATGGTGATTTTATTGTAATAAAATAGTTTTCTCCAAAGTTCTTTACAAAACAAACTTGACCTGAAACCAGCCACCACCTTGTAATGTTAATTTTAACAAACGTCATTGCGAAACAAAGTGTCTCTCCTTAATGATAGCTCTTCAAATGATCTTATCAAATCCCGACATCGTTAATTAAAGTCATTATTACCTTATTAAGTCAACAAATGACATCTGTCATTTGTTGGCTTTCTACACTTGTACCAACACGCCTGAGGCTCGTCAAATGAAAAATCGCTCTACCAAAACCAAGCTGAGCACATAGGTCCTTTTGCTACATTCATATGAGCAATTCTACAAATTCTACAATGTAAAACATAAAAATCCTAAAATTAATTGTACGTCGTATTTTCGCCCCCGACGACGCTTCGGCTGAGCCATCCATCATAATTATAATGTACTTAGAGGCATATTTTCTCTGGTTCTAACGAAACAATTCAATTGAAACCAGCTATATACCATATTGTGATGTTTTTTTAAGGCAGACATCATTGCGAAAAAAGGCATCCATTCTTAATGATCACTAGTCAAATGTTCTAATCAAATGCCAACATCATTAACATCATTTATCAGACCTCAAGATTGATCGAGTGCTAACATTTTGTTAGCTTTCTACACCTGGACCAACACGCCTGAAGATCGTAAAATGACCGTCGCTCCGCAGAGACGCAGCTCAGCACTTGTCTTTTAGTTCCACTCTTATCATTTTTATTTATCATTTATTATCATTTTTTTATAATTTTATTATCATTTTATTATCATTTTACTATCATTTTATTATCATTTTATTATTATTATTGTGTTATCATTTTAGTTTCAGTTTAATATCAGTTTATTATCATTTCATTGTCATTTTATTATCATTTTATTATCAATTTATTATCATTTTATCATCATTTTGTCATCATTTTAATATAATTTTATAATCATTTTATTATCATCTTATTATCATTATAATATCACTATCATTTTATTATCATTTTATAATCATTTTATTGTCCTCTCATTATAATTTTATTATAATTTTATTATCATTCTATTATAATTTTATTATCATTTTTTTACTATATTATTATCAGTTTATTATCATTTTATTACCATTTTATTACCATTTTATAAATTGATAATAAAATGTTAAAAAATTTTAATAAAATTATAATAAAATTATCCAAGGATCCTGACTGACTGACTCATAGAGACGAATGGTCCCACGTAAGAGGGACATATTACCACGGCTTTACATCGACTTAATATCTAGTCGATTTGATAAACAAATGTGTTCTTGTAGTTGTTCTTGTAGTTGTTCTTGTAGTTGTTCTTGTAGTTGTTCTTGTAGTTGTTCTTCTAGTTGTTCTTGTAGTTGTTCTTGTAGTTGTTATTGTAGTTGTTCTTGTAGTTGTTCTTGTAGTTGTTCTTGTGTTGTTGTGTGTGTTCTTGTAGTTGTTCAAATGTGTTCTTGTAGTTGTTCTTGTGTTGTGTGTGTTCTTGTAGTTGTTCTACCGCCTGCCACATGTGCTTTACACGTCGACCTGCCCGCCTTGCTGCTATTAGTCTACGGACTATCTACGTAATGTATAATAATAAATCAAATATCAATATAAGCGTCACACTTCTCAGAACAATGTTGCTTGTTTTCATATTTTAACTGACAGTGGTGAGAGTTATTTTCAAAACTTGTTGGAGTTTTTAACTTATCAACTATCAGCCTATCAACAAAATTTCATCAATTTTTCAATCTATCAGAAAATAAATTATTAGTTCGAATAATTTATATCTGGGCATCTTATACGCATCATCGCACATGAAATATATTGTTAACAGCTTTTCCAAGAAGAATTGTTCATTGATTGGTCAGCCTATTAGTGGTTTCAATTAGTTAACTCGTAATTAACGTTGTTTCCAAGTCATTTGACAGGTTGGGCAGATGTTGGGTTGGATTGGGACAGGTTGGGCACCTAAATTCAGCCAGCAGAGGCGCTCTAAGGCCTAAGCTTTAATGATATCGATACCTAATTAAATAATTGCTGCTCTGAACGATTGCCTAATATCTGTTCAATCCTGCTAAGCGAGGAATGTCGAGAATTTCATGACATCCAATGAACACCAAAGTTGATTATCTTTACTTTTTGTACTTTTTACTGAGGTTGAAACTCGTGTGTTCAGATCAAAGGAGAATATTACTATAATTCATAGAAATAGTTGGGTCATAAATTCCAAACAATCACATTTTCTGCAAGTAACTTTGATGTGCACTTTTTGCAGCAATGCTGGGTCCGGATGACCCACATGAGGGCTGGAAGTACATCGCTATTTGGACAAGTTTGTCTCATTTCTCTAAGTGATCCGTTGCTGGGAGGCTGGAGTCATACTTTCAAAATTCGCTATGTGAACGTAAGTACTTACGCTCTATTTTCTTGTCTATGATTGGTGGATTTTGCTTGAAAGGCCGTCAATGATTGGCTGATGAACTAACGATCTCTTAACTTTTTTGAAAGTATAGGCCCCGGAGTGCAACACGTTTCATGAACCAAGGCTGCCAGACTGGGCAGCGGCTGGATT